TTACGCGCTTTGATATTTTGTCTTTATGCAGTTAAAGCAGTACGATTGCTTTGAAAAAAAGTTTAGATTTTCCAAAATATGTCAAAATAAAGAAAACATTTTTTTTTTCAAAAAAAAATTTAAAAAAAAAAAAAATTAATTTTTTTTTTCAAAAAAAAGTAATTTTTTGTCCAATGTATAGTTTCTCAAACATCTTATTTTTTCGAAGTAAAATTTTTTTAAAAATGTGAATTGTTTTTAAAAAAATAATAATTTTTGGTACAGGAAGTTCCAGCAATTTGCCTCAAGGCACGATGCCTTAATTGCCTTAAGACAGAATTCCACTTACAGCTAGTTTTTCTTTTTTTTATTGGATGACCGAAACCGTTAGACTTGCTTTCTCAAAAAATTTATCAGTTCTTCATTTCGTGAATACAAATAAATTGTTCTTTGAAACATTCAAATCGGACGCTCCGTTATCTCAAAAACTGAGTTATCTTTCTTACGACTGGACCTGCATTTGCAAAAAACTAATTAGGACGTCCCATTATCAATAGGATCGAATCGAATTCATTCAAATCAGTTGATCCGTGTTCCCGCAATCATCGACAAAAAATTATATCCTACATACATACATAAACACATACGCACACACGCACACACACATACATCCATTTTTTCTGAAGTATGGCAAAATGTTCAGAAATTCCTGAAACGTAAAGATTTATAAAGATTTTCATTCTCGATTTTTGCGACTACTATAACTTACCCTACGAAAAGTTGAATAATAGTATTATCATTGTTAATTAGTAAAAGTGTTTATACAAGTAAAATACGGTTAATAGCTGCATGCAACGAAACTAGTTGTAAGTGGCATTTTGCCTTAAGACAAGTTGCAAAAACTTCTCGATTGGTGTATTAATTGACATAATCAACCAAAATTGAGATTTCGATATTTAGATAATATTTTCAATAGTTTATTTTGAAAATCAAGTTTTCGCTTTCAAATAAAGCTACACATTGCAATTTCTAATTGAATTTTCTCAAACTCATTTATAATATTTGTAATTATATTAATTATGTACTAAAATTATAGTTTATTGTTTGTGCTATAAGAAAATACTGTCAAGTTCAGGACATGATTTACGTACAATTATTAAATGAATGGTAACATTTTTCACAAAACTAGAGAAGTTTTGTAGACGGTTCATTTACTTTTTTGCTAATTCCAAAGCCATTTCTAATCGAATTGATTAACTTATCACATAACAGAAGCGACTTTTGACACAAATTTTGACTCTTCTAAAACATTTTTTCAAACTTTTTAAAATTAAACTACTTATCGTAGGGCCGTCATATTTCAGTATGTTCTATAAGACCATGATATCTATCGTCAAATTTTTTTTATCAAAGTCGTCGAAAATTTTTTTTCTACGGTTAATCGCAACAAATTGTGTCTGCAAATCTTTACCAAAAACTAATCAGGTGGTTTCCAAACCCATATATTTTGACCGGTTTTTAAATTTTTAAAATCTATTCAGAATTGGGGGCTAGAACGTGGACGAAAAATTTTGCTTTTCTGCGATTCACAAAGAAACTGCTTGGCCGATCGTCGCGTAAAACTTACAAACTATAGCCCTCATCGGGATGCACCGATTAACTTTTGAATTTTTGAAATTGGTCCCGCCGTTTTTAAGAAAAGGTCGACAAAAGATTGAAAATCTTTTCACACACACATACACACGAACACACACACATGCTTTTTTCAAATTCGATTCAGAATAGCTTGAAACATCGAAAAAATATAAAATTAGCAAATCGAATTCTTACGATTTCGAATTCGAAGTTAATAATTCATTGAAATCAGAACATAAATTGTCTAACAATGAGCAATATTCTTTAATATTTCGATTCTCAGTACTAAAATAGATGATATGAAACGATGTATTCATTGACAATAAATAGTATATTCAATTTCATTAGCCCACTACCCATTTGAGTATATTTGAGTAAGTCTATTAAAAACATCCTTATTGTGACTTTCAGTTGAACAATATTAGTAAGCTTCTAGCTCACTACCACCACCACCCTCCCGCCCGCTCTCACACAAAAATTCTAATCCGTCCCGGATTTCATGCAAAAAGATATATGGTCACCTTAATATACTTGATAAATTTGCATCTGGACTTTTTTAGAAAAAGTCGTTCATCCACAGCAATATGTGATCCCGGTTAGAAGTAATTTTAGCTATTATCTAAGAATTTGTTCCAAACTGCTGAAACCAAAGCGAATTGGTTTGTTTGCAAATTTTTCTTGTAAAATCATTTTTTTTCCAATAGTTTTATGTAAACCAATTTCAGATGCCTGATTTTGTGCGATAGTTCCAACTTCGACTTCAGAACTGAAAGAAAGTTGCTCGTGTCGTCTCATACGTTTGTTTGTAATATTTATCCATACACTATCTCACTTGATCCATCTATATTCTCCTTATCACGAATTTTCTCATCACTTTAGTCAATAATTGCCTTCTGGATCGATTGGTCTATCAAAAATTTCACCATTTTTTATCATATAATTCACATTCAACGTCCGAACATTTTAGAAATCCGCTGGTTTCATTTTCTTTTCGACAGATTCGAAGGCTGGAGACCGCTATAAAAATAAGTTGAAATCATGACACTTTCTGCGTTTTTAGTCTTCTTCTTACTCAAGAATATAGTTTTGAATATTTCTGTAACCACATAAAAATATAGTAATAATGCCGCAATCTGCATTTTACAATATGATAAAGAATAAAAAATAAAGAAAACTAGTGGTGTGTAAGGCATAGTGCCTTAAGGCAAATTGCTGGAACTTTCCGTACCGTAACGAAATGTTCGAGGAATATTAAATGTTTTCAAATAGATTATTATAGATAAATACTGTAACATTGTCTAATATTTATAAGAATTATATAAACTGAATGGCAACGTTGAAAATATTTGTTTAAATATTAAGTAAGTCAAAATTACAATTAAAATCTGAATTATTTGCCATATACAAAAAGTGCTGACTCGTACTCAAAATTGTATTGATGCTGCAGGTCACCAATTTGAACAGTATTAACATTTGTTATTTATGTTTCATTTAAATTGGACTTTCAGCTTTCTATTTTCCTGAAATTTAACTTTGTAGAATGGTAAATAAATTTTCTATAGAAGTTCAAAGTGTGTATACATTTTTTTGAAGTACCCTGTATAGAGAGAGAGAGAGTATAGGGGGCTTAAAGGTCCACCACCGATATCTCAAAAATCAGTGAAGTTAAGAATCTTTTAACAATATTTGGAAGTAGAGGGAAAAACTTGGATAACTATCCATCACCTTGATTTTTATGATGTTGCTATCGGGAAAAAAACGGCTACATATATTGAAAATTCGTAATAAAAGTATTGTCTTACGTTGTTACATTTTTTTATTGCGAACACCGTTGCTTAGTTTGCGAGACCTTAACAAAATTTTTAAGTATACGTTATTTAATTGTTTTATATGAGATTATTGTTAAGTATAATTTAGATTCAACAGCTGTTTTTATATAACCTCCATAAAAGCTTACACCTGGGTGAGGTAAGAAAGACCAACTGAACCTTAACCCTAGGAAAGGTGTAATAAATATCAAATAAAAGAGTAAATGAAGCTTACAATATTACAATATTAATAAAAAATGGGGCAATATTACAAAAAAAATATTTAATTTAATTTAATAATTAGTTATACCAACTCTACTGATAAATAGTTCTAACGAAGTACCAGATCAAGGTTATAAAAATGTACTCTGTAAAAAATGTACCAATGAAATTTTTAATTTGCATTGGTTGAATAATGGAACTATTATTTTGCTATTATTGTACTGAAATGAAACATTGAACCAGTTTGCCTTCTGGCCGTCACAATTTACGCCGCCTATGGGGTAAAAAGGACCAGGTGATAAATTGTTGAAAAATAGCAAAAACTTACATTTCTACAATGATGAATTAGCTGGGAGTTTTACTGAGCATAGTCAGATATCGTTGCTTGTTTAATATGTGTTATTTGTTGTGATATAATTGGTTTGATTTTCACAATACAATTACCCAAATCACAATATAATTGCCAAATTGGACCCACCCTACCCCATATATATACTAATATTAATAATATATTTATATTATTATTAATCATTTCGGTTATTTAATTATATATAGCATATTAAATTACCAATAAACTGTTATCGGTGAATTTTAATTTTATTTAATATAATTTATTCTCTTATTTTTTCTAGCAACTTCTCGTAGGGTTATAGTAATCACAATAAATCGAAAATGAAAATTTTCATATATCTTTAGGTTTCGAAGGTTTCTGAACATTTTGGCATACTTTAGAAAAAATTGATGTATGTGTATGTGTTCGAATACAATTTTCCGTCGACGGTTTCGTGAACACGAATCAACCGATATGACTAATTCAAAAAACATTCGATTCGTATTGATACGGAGACGTGCTGATTAGTTTTTGGTCAAGGCAGGTCCAGCCGTTTCTCAAAAATCGTTTTTTTTAATTTTCAAGCTTTTTAAACATTTTAATTTTCGGTACGGGAAGTACCAGCAATTTGCCTTAAGGCACGTTGCCATGCACCACTAGTTTATATTAATATTGTTGTTTACTTGAAGAAGTAAAGTGAATTAAATTACATTTAAAATAAACCGATTGAAATTCGGGAAGCAAACCAGCGTCCCAAGAAGTGCACGAAATAAATGCTTCGGAAATCGCGGCATGGGGGGAATTATAGATTAGAATTCGGAGTCGGCGCGTTAAGTTACAAAACCTGTGTGAACACAAATCCACTCACACTTAAACACATGTGCTCGAACGCAAACACAAAGACACATATTAGAAGTCTATTATCGGGACAAATTCGCGATTTTTATGCGACAGTCGTATTCGCACAGTCGCACCGAACGGACGAGAAACCACAAAAAAATTCCCGGCGTTCAAAGGCGCTGACATTTTAACTCGAAGCTGTTAATGTGTTTCCAGACCGGCTTCAATAATTTTACTATTAATTGTGCCTATTGACGGACAGACGTCAAATAAAATTTTGTGCCGAACATAGTTCTGTTATTCCGACGATTTGATATTCGTGGATAAATTTTTAAATATTTTGTATCCGAGGAAGAACCGTTTCTGAATCAAAGTGCGTCCGTCCAATAATGAATAATAAATTTGCACGCGTTTTTATCAAGAATAGTAATAGTATCGCAGTGCCGTTACCCATCCCGCGTTCCTGCCGAGCTTCCACCTATTCGACGACCCTTCCAAATGTCACCCAGAGGGTACTGAGACAACAGAAAAGCACATGTGCCGAGATCAATTATTGGAAGAATTACTCTTATCACAGTGCCGCACAGGTAGGTCGAGAAAACCACGAAAACCAATCACGCTAAACATTTATAACATGTCAAATGTCCTGTAATATTGATTTTCTGCTTCATGCACACAAAATATATTGAGAGTAAAAAGATACATACTTACTCGCATTAGGTCATGTTTCCCACCCCGATGCAACAACCGGTATACGTCATGTGTGACCGTAATTACCGGTAAATGTGAAATTCCCTCGAGTGAATATTTCTTCTCCTGTAGTGCACAGTTCCTGGAAAGAAATTATTTTTATCTAGTAAAAATTAATTTTTTAATTTCAACACCAATTCTACGATAAAACACTTTATCACTTTATTAAACACTTTCTGAAACACGTGATGTTGTTATCATTAATTTCTATTACACATTTTCTTTATGCTTTAGATCCCAATTTATACTGATTTAAGGCCGTCAACAATTAATTTTTCATTAATTATTTTACGTATAAATAACATACATTTGAAATATTTCCGAATAACAGATGAAACTTTCTCATCTGGCTTTCAACTTGCTAAAATTCAGATATGTATGAGAGTTTGTTAAATATTAACATAAATATTTACACATTAAGAATAAACTATGATGTTCGATTTTATATGAAATGCCAAATAATTACTAGAAAGATTATGATTAAGGATATAAAATTTACAGATGAAAAATAAAACTTTTATTTAAAGAATGTTAATATACATAATAATATATTTTTTTAAATTACAAAGATAGCTTCGTCATTATTTGAAAATTCAAAATCAAGAATTCAGTATTCATTATGCAGCCTTTATTCAAAATAAAGTTACTATAATATATAATATTTATAGTTAAAATGCGTTTCTTAATGAAACACGTTGAGTAATACTATATTTGGAATGCCATTGATGATTCTTCTATATTTTTTAAAATAGCCTGGTGTAGTTTTGATATTTCAAAAATTAAGGTTTTAATTAAGTAAGGTTATTTGTTCCATGTTACTGCTATTCATAATATATTGAGATTCAAAACATAATTTTAGTTCAAATTTTGATGAGTAAATTTAGTGATTGTACTTACGTATTAATTACTAATTACTGATTTTGATAAACTAAAACAATGTAAAAAACCATTGGACAGAATTTTTGTAAGTTTAATAATTTTTAATAAAATTTTAATCATTCTACGACAAATATTTTTTTCTATTTCTATATTACACAAAATTTATTATCGAATTGAAGACAAAACCTGAATTTTTGCAACGCGTTCGTTTATTTAATGAGCCAGATGTTTTAATATTGACTTTTCGCACGCTTCTGCCTATTAGCGTTAATTTGCACAGAATACTATTTGCCAAACACCTCGGAAAATGATAAATTAATGTGCGTTCTACACTATATAATATTCAAATTTTGTGCCCTACTAATAAACAGTAACACAAAAATTAAAAAAAGAAATGATCAATGATTTCTTAAAATAAATAAGATATTTTAAGAACAAAGTATGAAAATGATTTTTAACAATAAAATCTACTGATAGATTCAATTTTACAGTTAAATTTGATATTACACACATTTTTATATGTACCCTTAAATTGTAATTTAATTATAGTTTCAATATAAATAAATATATTTACAATCTTATACAAGAATTATTTATGTATAGATATAACAATATTTATATAAATTTATTTTTACTTTAATATTTATGATTTTTCTTGCTATTATGATATTAAAAACTTTTAATAGTTTGTACAGAATTTTCTGATTTATTCTAGTTCAAAAATTTCAATATAATTATAAAAACTATAGAAAGTTATTCAGAACTGTTTAAATAGGTAAATCATATAAAGCGATTAAAAAGATTTTGCAGTTGTAGTGAAAATATTTAAAATAATATCTGTGATATATGAAAATTTCAAATACCTACCGGAGGCATTCTATACGCACATATCCAGTATGAACTCTTTCTGAAATGAATTTATATATGTACTAATGAGTAGAATTTCGATACTTAAGTTTTATATAAAAAAGGTCCCTGAAATCATAGATTTTATTTGAATTTTTCTTCGATTTTCTCTTTTGATATAAACCTTGTTGAGATTTTCTTGAAGTATATTTAAAATACAATGTGTGACTTCTTTACTGACCTTACTCTATCTATTTATCATACATCTATATATTTATTAATCAATGTTGCGTGTCGTCGTAGTCATTTATCTATATATTAAAAAAATCCAATAACGAACCCATTTATATCTATCCAAGTCTGTGAATTTAATTAAAAATCCAATTATTTAGCTACGAATTTGCAAAGTTAAGTAAATTGGTAAAAGATAGTTTGTAGACCCACAGCAGTTTACAATATCTTAAGCATAATTTTTATTTTCAAAAATAATATCTTAATTACATACTTGAATATCAATTTTCCATAAAATTTAATATTATTCCACAATAGGAAATGTTTCCTTTCCATTAGTTAATGACATTTTAATTTCAGCGCTTAAATTTTTAACTTTAAAAAGTGTTTCGTCTTGAACAAACTTTGGAACTAGGTATTATATTGTGTTTTATTAATAAATGTTTTAACATTTTATTCATGATCTAATTTGCGACTTTAGATTATCATTAATTTTATTACCACCAATAAATAATAAAATAATTAAATCGTCGATTATATTTAAAGTAGAGGAAACTTGATTCGATTGTGCCAGGGTACGGTAGTGACAGTCGTCATAACAAAAATAAACTTCACTAATTTTGAGATAGGGTCCAAAGGGAGGAAGATGAAGCATGTGGCGCTCTACATTAACACAATCTGCAGACCGCATTGCCCTTAAAGAGTCATAACAAGTTTCTTTGTTTGATTTCTTTTGATAAAAACTCTTTCTTGTATATAGATAGATCATTTTGTTATTTTGCTGTAAGTTGGATATTAGGAGGTAATTACCAGCAATTAAGTTTTCCGGAGACAATTTAGCTCAGTCATAACGATGATTTGTCTTTAAATATAAAGTAAAATCTAACTTAACTAATGAAGGTAAAATACAAAAGAGAAAAGGAAAGGAAAATTAATACAAGAAAAAAAAATTCATAAGAATTCTCGTTAAGTTTGTTTAAAAAAATATGTTTTGTTATATACTGTTATATTATATTCATAAGCTTTGGTTAAATGATTGTTTGTTATGTTACATATTTCTCACAATCAAAGTTGTTAGAAACCATTCTGGTGTTTATACATATTGGTTTTGATCCTATTGTAATGCCTGTCACAACCGTCCCTGGGGTGTGAACGATTGTGATATTTCTTAAATGATTTGTTTTTATAACTAATCCATCGTATTTAAGGACAGTATTTCAGTATTTCCATAAAGATAAATGTTCAATTTACCATTTAATTCACTTTTCTTCTAGCTTACTAGTAAATTGACAAAATTATGGCCGATCAAAAAAAAAATGAGACAACCGTTCCGAGTCTCCCCTACAACTATAGAAATTTTTGACACTATGTACGCTCGTAAAATGTTAGATCTTAGAATTATATTTTTAATAGTATAGTTTTTGTGTTTTTTAAAAAAAATGCAAATTATAGAAATTATTATAATTAATTTCTAAAAATCGATACTTCTTGACAATAGTTGTACGAATAATTGGCCTTTCCTAGGGCAACTGATTTCTTCTTGAATACATTCCACGGCCGCATATTTTCTGGTGTTTTAATAAAAAATTGTATGCATAATCTAATTTTTCGAATTAATGATAAAGAATGATTAAATGTAATTCGCACGAGATTATTTGCTCTGTGTATATTGCATAATTAACCGATGCGAAACAGAAAACGTTATCAGTTACGCTCATCGTCTCCTCCTCCTCGTTCGCTGGGACCGAAATAAATCTCAAGGTGGCCAGACGTCAAATGTCAAAATCTTATGACAAGTAAATGCAACTATTTAAAACGATAATAATATACGCAGTTCAGAAACTAGTGGTGTATGGGCATTGCACCTTAAGGTTTGTGGATCTCCTCGATCTAGAGTCCAATTATCCACCAATTTCAGAAAATTTTGAATAATACGTTTTTTTCTCATGCGAAATTTCCTCAAAAATATTATATAATTTTAACCTAAAATTTAAATTTTCTAACTTTTATCAACTAGATTTTTCTAAAACTTTTTTCTAATTTTTACAACTTACGATTTGAATTTGTTAAAAATATAAAAAATTTAGAAACTTTTATAATCCACATTTTTTGTTCAAAATTGTATTCATTTAATTTATTTTTTTAATTGCATCATTTTAAAGCTTTTTAAAAATTAAAATTATTTGCATTGGTAAACGAAATTTTAATAATTTTGAATGATATTTTTTTCTTCTTCAAAATTTTGTGTGTTCTAATCGTTTGTAAGTACATATTTGAAAGTCTTAGAATTAATTTTTGCTGGGTTTAAAGGTCCGCGAATAGAAAGGTCCAGCACTGTTATCACAAAAAAGTAAAATGTGGATTCTTTTAACGATACTATTTCAAATTAGGGACTTAATCATGTGTAATAATAAGTCATCGCCTTAAATCGGGCGACATCGTAATCAGGAGATAAATGGCCACATTTTTAAATTTTTATTTTAATCGTTGTTAGTCTTTTTGTTTTATAAGATGCATTATTATTATTAAGCTAAATTTAATAGGCTTTTCTTTTTAACCTCTACAATAGCTTTTAACATCTATTACATGCTTACGTTGGGGTAAAAAGGACCACTTAGACCTGTACGCTGGGGAGGTGTAAACAATAAGAAAATAGTAATAAAAATGTAAAATGAGTTATAAAAACAATTATACAAGAGATGAATTTAAAATAGTAATATGAAATAGATAAATATATATGTATAGGCATACCAGAAACCCCTGTCTGTCTGAGATATGGATATATATGAAATGTATATATTACTAAATAAAATTTCAATAATTCAAAAAAAAAATGTTCCAACCATGATTTTTTTCCAACTCTGATGATGAATTCTTCTCT